TTTTTTTTAACCTCTATTCTTTTTAGCGTAAAAGATAGTTTTTATTTTTTTATATTGAAACTTATTGGGATTGCATATTTTGAAACCTTTTTGTCTATTAATTTATTATTAGCATGGTTTTACAATAATTTAATATAAACTTATCTGAGTTTAAAAAAGAGAATCTTAAATACAATGTAATAAATAATTTTCTTTTTTTTGATTTCATTTCGATTGAAATTTTTTTCTATCAAAAATGACTTCGCTTACGGATGAATGTACTAAATGCCATCGGATACTTGAAAAATCAATGTTTTTAAATCAATCTGGGAAAAAAGTAAAATCCTGTTCTATATGTCGCACTCAGTCTTCACGTATATATAAAATAAAAAAGCAGGAGATTAATAATCATAATGATCAAACCGATAATGACGATAATCAAGAAGAAATGATTCTTTTAGAAAAGTTACCATCAAAACTGTATGATGAAATATGTGCTATCACCTCTAATAACTATATGGAAAATGACAATATGGGAATAGAATTTTCATGTTTATTGGAATTAGATACTATAGACGATCCCCATAAACTTTCTAAAAAAATAGCCGAACTTGTTGAACAAGGGGACGGATATAATTACATGTAAGTATATAATATTAAAATATACTGTACTTATATTACAGTATTAAATATTTATTCGTCAATATTTATATAGTTACAAAAAAAGTTATGATTTAAAAAAGGTTCCTGGAAGTCATTCATTCTGGTATTATTGTTCCCAATGTCAAACACTTAACAAAAGACCTCGAAAACATAAGGATTTAGAGCAACAAAGAGATCGTGATAGTATGGAACGATTTGCATGTGAAGGCACACTTTATATTTCTATTAATATGAATAGCAACTTTGCAAAAATTCGACTTAAACATAATTTTTTGCATAAACGACCAGAGCGATTTGAAGTTGATAATGTAGTTCAGGAACATATTAAGAAATATATATATTTAACACCAAGTGATATTTATAAACAGCTAGAGTCAAATTATCCTGATCTTACGCAAAAGCAAGTACATGCATGGTGGAATAAGTTTATCAAGGAAAAATATGTTCGTGATAATAATAATCAGCTAAATTCTATGAAAGTTCTTCTTGAAGAATATAATTATTCAATTGTGCTGGAAAATATTACGGAGGGTATTAAATATCTTGGATTCATAACTCCATTTTTTAATCTATTATTAAAAAACAAAGAAATCGTAGTTGATGCAACATGTAAGTATAATTTAAAGCTAATAAATTAATAATATTACTTTTATTAATTTAATTATTTTTAAATTAAAGATCAGACGAATGCATTAGATTTTGAGCTCTATTCAATAATTGGACAATTTGATGGAGCTGGATTCGCAATGGCGTATCTATTTATTGATAGTAAAAAGAAAGACAATGGAGCACGTACAGATATTTTAAAATATTTTTTTCAGCAACTTAAAATGCTTGGAATGGATAATATTACCTTTTTTTTAACAGATAAAGACTTCAGTCAAATATCTGCTGCTCGATCAACTTGGCCAAATGTGAAAGTACAAATTTGTTTATGGCATTTAAAAAAAGCCATCAAAAAACGACTTTCTGATAATACACTACCAAGAACAATCACTTATAGTTCAAATGACGCTCATAATATATTCAATTTTATTGATAAAGAATTCTATCCTCAATTATTGGATTTATCTAAAAAAGAGCAAAAAAAATATAACTTTATTTTTTGCACAAAAGATCTACGACCAATTATTATCGAAACAATGAATAAACATTTTCATTTACATTCACTTATTCCGGATCTTAATGGAAATTTTTTATCAGATCAACAAATTTGGGAATCTTCAGTTTACGAAATGTATCAATTATGCGTCAATAATGATTTAAAACACTTGTGGGCCTATTTATGGACTTACTGGTATCAAAAAAATATGTGGATTCTTTGGGCACGCTCATCAATTTCAACTGAAATTTGTATATTACGTACAACAATGCTTATTGAATCGCATTGGAAAGTAGTTAAACGCGATTATTTACCTAAATTTTATCGTCCACGTATTGATTTAGTAATATATATTATTATTTCACGGCTTATTCTACATTGTCAAGTGCAATATCAAAAATATATTAATAAAAGAGAAAAGGTTTCATGGCGAAAAAATTTTAAATCTGAATGGCAAGCTCTTAGTAAAAGAAATATCAACAATACTTATTTTGTAGATACTG